GCAACAAGGTGTGATGACATAAGGGGTGAGGAAGGGAGGTAGACCAGCTGGTGAGCCAATCACTCTTAACCTTCACAAGGAGGGGCAAGGCCCAATCCCTGTAGCCAACACCTACCCAGGGACTCCTAGGGGTGGCCCTGCTCCCTCCCCAGGTGGTGGGGGCAGGGAAACAGGAGTGAGAAAAACACATGAACCATGGGAGTATCTGACATTTCTCTTACATCTCTTATATTCCTCAACAAGCTGTTGAGGAACAGGGTTTGGAAAACCAGGTGGAGGTGGTGTTGGGGAAGGGACCTGGGAAGAGAAGGTAAAGGAAGTGGGGCACAGGGCCTCTCTGCCAGTGGGGCTACTCTGAGCTGGAGGGCACAATCCTGGGCCAACATGCTGTATGAAAGTACAGTGTTCAGTTGGTACCCTGTCCTGGCCCACAAGGAGCTGCCCAGGCCCAGCCCCCAGCAGTGTGTGGGCCTTTTCCTTTCTGCAAAGCTCCTGACTTGGAAGTGCTCAATCTCAGCCTGAGGTTAGCTGGCCCAGGCTTGGCCCTCTCCTCCCTGTGGTGGGAGAGTGGCTCTACCAGGGTAGAAAAGGTGGCTATAGGAACCGGCAAGCAGATAGGAGAGACCTGGAGGCTGCTTAGGTGACAGCCCTTCCCATACCTCGCTCTCTTCTCAGTGTTCTCAGAATCGCTGCTGGTTTCTGGAAGCAGCTACTGAGTTTTCAGAAAAGGGAAGTGGGTGGAGACACAGTGTAAATCAGTTTCAATATTCACACATTTTATCCTCCCCCAGGCATGCCTCTCCAACCTGATGCAGTTGCTCCATCTTCCACTCACCATGCCTCCCCCTTGGGCTCTGTGGGTGACACTCCTGGGCTTTTGCCTCTGTTTCTGAGGTCCTTTAACAGAGGGGTCATCTTTATCCATGATGTGAGAAGGTTGGACTAAGTGAACTGAAACTCCAACGGGAACTTGGGCAGAAGTATTTAGGTCCCCATCATTGGCCTGGAGCCCTTGTGGCCTGAGGTCCTCACCCAGGAAAGTGTTTGTCTTTAAGAATACCTAGGGCTTCCCAGGAGCTCTGGGAGGACAGTGCCTAGAGAGAAGAGGCTGCTCTGCAACTTTCCCACTCTGCCACCAGTTTCTCTTTGTTGTGGGATGCTCACTGTGACTCCCACAGACCCATTCCCTGTTCTAACCCAAACATATTTGTTTAGTTTTTCTTAGAATTGAGACAGATGTGCATTTTCAAAAGGGAGCTTGTTAGTATTAAATGGGTACATTGGAGATTGCAGAAAATGCAGCTGTCTAAGCTCTGCAGCAAGACCTCTACTCTATAGAAATTTCACTCTGATCCCTGGAATTGGTCTGAGTGTGACCCCACAGCAATTTGCCTGCATGGTGCTCTTTGTGCACTATGGGAGCATCACCGTGGGCACCTGTAAGGCCTGGTCATTTTCCTTCCCTGCCTTCCACCTGGATCCTGCCATTGCCCAGCCTGGCTCCTGGCCTGTGAATTGTCCAGCCCTGATGGGGCCTTCTCTTTCCAACAAGGCCTCTGCCTTCCTGGAGGCCCTTCAGTGCCATGGAGGGCTGGTAGGAGCTGTGTTGCTCACTGGGTCCTGCTAGTCCCTCTGAAGGCCCAGAAGGGCCCAGCCATGACTAAGGAAGCTGGGGCTGGAGAAGCAAGAGTGTGTAGGGCTCAGGACACTGCTGGCATAAGTGAAGGCCAGAGAGCCATGAAAGAACCACAAGTGGCAGATGTGACAGACAGAAAACAGCCCTGGAAGCTGTGCAAAAGTGGATGCCATCCATGACCAGCATGTGCACAATCATACACTCACACACAGTACCCCTACCACGCCCGAGCTGATGACTCCAGTACTTACAATGACATGGCACCCACATGGGTACCAACGACAGGAAGCACTCCAGCACACACAGTGCCTGCTTTCACTGAGTGAGGCCAAGGGTTTTTGTGCCTAGCCTGTAATGAGAGGCTAGAAATGGTGGTCAGAAGCAGATGCCCCCAGACCCCCAGGGCAGTGACCCTAAGGCCATGTGTCAAGGCTTTGTCACCTTCAGGAAGCTATAGGCTTTGATGGCCATGAGAAGGAAGATGCTGGCTGCATGGCTGGTGGGGCTAGGGGGTGTCACAAAGAGGATGACTTTGCAGGCAGTGATCCTAAAGCCCCAGCCATGTGGAAGAAGTAGCAGGCTGATGTTCAGGAGAAATTCACAACCAGGAACACTGTATTGGACATCCAGGGTGACGAGGCTGTGGGGGGGTGTGGGAGAAGGTGAAGAGGGCCAAGCTGCTCCCTATCAGACCCAGGATGAGCGCAATGTTCCAGATTGTGCCAGGAAGACATAAGCCAGTGGGGGAGAGGTGGAGGCAGGGAAGCCAAGCCTCTCCTGAGGATCCTAACATAGTGGGAAGGCTGAGGGAGGGAGAGAAGGGAAGAGGGAGAGCTTGGGTTGTGAAATTCCAAGGGGACCAAGGGGGGCGTTCTGGAATCTTCCTACCCCCATGTGAGGGTTCAGGGAAAAGCAGGATTAGTGTCACCCTCAGCTGACCACCACAGTGACTAGACATTCTGGTTTTCATCACTGAGAAAGAAACATGCATGTTTGCAGGCAAAGAGGACCCTGTCGCCGACCCTCCCCTGGGTACTGAGTGATCTCCACACGATGTCTGAGGTTGGAGATGTCTGGCAGGGTGATGGAGGCTCACAGAAGCCCTGGAGTGGGAGGAAAGTCAGCAGAGCTGAGGTGGGGGAGGGTATTCACATGTGAGTGGTCAGATGTCTGCTTATCTGGAGGCAGGAGTTTGTCCTTGTGACTTGAGGCTCCCAGGATCAGTAGTCCTCCTTTGCATATACAGTTGAGTGGCTGCCTTCTTGACCTGGAAGCTCTGGCTACAGGGACTGTGGAGTCAACAGGACACTGTCCTGGGAGGAGGAGGAGGTGGGGGTTCTATTAAGATGTTGGGTGTCCTGCTTATGGCCTCAGGGAACCAGGCCTATTGGTGCTCTGCCGACCTTCTACGTGTTCACAGCCTGTGTTCATCCGCAGCCTGCTGTATGTCCACAGCCTGTTGCTGCATGTCACAAATCTGTCATACATGCAGAACCTGCTGTATATCATAAGCTACCTGGTCTATGTCTACAGCCTGCTGTGTACCATAAGCTGAATACTGTATGTCCACAACCTGCTGTATGTCACAGTCTTGCTGTATGTCCACAACCTGCTGTATGTCAGAGTCCTGCTGTATGTCACAGTCCTGCTGTATGCCACAATACTACTGTATGTCACAAACCTGTTGTATATCAGAACCTGTATGTTGTATATCAGAAACTGTATGTCACAATCCTGCTGTATGTTACAAACCTGCTGTCTTTCACAATCCTCCTGTATGTCACATCCTGTTGTTCATCATTTGCCTGCTGTGGTTCAACCTGCAGTTATTTCCAGATTCCTGATGGTTCCAAAGTCTGTGATGGCCCTGGGTCCTCATACATGATGAAGGATGCCCCATAAGCAGAGGGCTCTCCTGCCAAGTTTCTGCTGCCATGGCATATGGGCCTAAGGCTTCTTCCCCAAACCAAATAAGTATGACAGTCATCAGGGCCCCCTGTCCACCCTCCCCAGCCCTCAGCTTTCATGCAGAATGGGAAGCAGGGAGCCCTGGCTCTGGACAAGGTGCAGTTCCTGTCCCACTTGAAGACCTTCCTCTTAAGACCACGACCTAGCACTGTGGACTAGCACTTTGGGCTCCTGATAACCTGGGTCGCAGGAGGCTGTGGTGTCTGGTTGTAGGGCCTGGCACCCCCACCCTTGCCAACTGGCTGTGGTCAGCAGTTTCCCATGTGCTGCCAGCTCGGCCCAGACCTCCAGGTTTTGGGTTCTGCAGCTGCTGGCCCCTCTCACAGATCTGCCAGGCCACAGCACTGCCCTGGGCTCCCATCTGGCCAAGGCTGAGGGCAGATGAGCTGAGACCTGTCTGGGAGAATCAGCATGCTAAGACCCTCCTGAGTTCTGAATACAGACAGGCCTGCGTGGGAAACAGCTGCCTCATTTCCAAACCTAAGCTTCATCTGTAAAATTGGGTGCTGTACCTTCTTGCAGTGACGTGAGGAGAAAATGAGATAATTTATGTAGAAACTTCTAGGGGATTCCCTGGTACAGATCTGTGCCTCACAAAAACAGAACAACCCTTAGTTCTAGGCAAAAACTCCTCTCCCGGGACATTACACAGTGGCCCACTGCTGCAGCCAAGCATGCTCCCAGCCACACTTGATCATGGGCACAGGAGGAGGCCTGTGGTGTCCCTTTGCTTGTAGGAGAGGAAAGCTTTAGGGTAGAGAAGCAGGTGAAGGTGTCCACATCCCTGGGCCAGAAGCCCTGCAGCAGAGTCGAGACCCCTGACCACCAGTGGAATGTGTCAAAGCAGTGAGTGGCCAGGCTGCGATGGGGAGATAGGGCTCAGGTTCTCTTTTCTAGAGGAAGCTGTGTCTCCCAGCAGGGACCTGTTCTGTGCAAATGTAGCCTCAGCACTGACAGGTAACTTCACTTTCTCACTGAAGTCCTAGGACAAACCTTAACTGGGGAATTTTGTGTTTTATATATTTCTATTTTCACAAGTTAACACAAATCATTTCTGTTGTTGGGAAAGAAACTCAACAGAAATTGCTTTTCTAAGTTACATAAAACAAACAAATGGGAGCAGAGAAAGAGGCAAAGACATGCCCTCAGTTGTGCTCCCAGGACCAGACATTCACCAGAAAGCCTTTATTGGTGGCAGGCTGGTTGGCCTGTGGGGACAGAGAAATGGGTGGCATACTACCTGACTGAGTGATGCAAGAATATGGCTGCCAGAGGAGAGGTGGAGCTGAGAAGGACATGAGAGTAGATGACACTGAGGCTCGGGCTGGCGGGGGACATACTGAGTTGCTTAGCAGCTGAACAGAGAGGCAGTGGGGCTGAGAGAATTGTTTGGCAGGCTGGCACTCAGGCACACTGTGGCTGCTATGGGCCCACAGCATGCGGGTCACCCCAGAGGCCTTTTGCGGGAAGGGTCCTGAGTCACAGACAGAGCCAGAGAGCCTTGTGCTCGCTCCCACACATACCTATGGAGACACATATGGGCAGGGGGCAGGTAAGGTCGGACCCTGTAGAATTCAGGGAAAGCAGGGCAGACCCATAGCTGGGGAAAGTTTCTATGTACTCACGAGCTCCCAGCTGGCACCAGGAGGCTGTCATCAGAGGTCAGATTCAGATGCTGTTCCCCTATCATCACGGTTGAAGAGCCCTCCTGGGAAAGAAGAGCAGGAGAATCAAAGCTGTTAGGCTGCCACACCTGCCTGAATTCCCCCAAGTCTGCCTTTCTAGGAGGCTCTGAGAGTAGGTCCCTCTATGGGAACTCAAGGATGGTGATCCCACGGACAGGAGGGTCTGCCACCCTCTCCCATGGTGCTACTTGCCAGCTGCCACAGCCATATGTCCACATCTTGTCCAGGGCCTTTGCTGCTGCCTTGTCCGTGGGCAATCACCTGGTGGGAGGTGAAACATTTTCTGCCCCACCTGGGAGATGGCAATGAACTTGGTCCCAGACAGCAGGCCTGCATGGCCCATATACAGCCCCACCCCCATGTGCCCAACAGAAACCAGGACTCAAAGAGGAAGGCCTCTGCAGCTGCCCTTACAGCAGGTGCTGCTCACCTGTGATTCATGACCATGCACACCTGCCTCTATGTGTGCCTGCACCTGTGTCCCTTCTATGTGGAGGCACACCACACCTGGGTGATGCACCTCAGTGCTCCAGAGGGGCAAACTCCCTTTGGGAGATATCATAAATCTGGCCCAAGGAGGAGGAGGGACAAGAAGAGTGAGGCTGAGGCCTCTTTGACCTGCAGCCACTGTGTGGGGGCCATGCTTCTGCCAACCCCTAGTGGAACTTGGAGGACATCTGCTGGCATGAACTGGAGCAGGTAGGAGTGGGGTGTGAGAGATGGCTGTGGCCAGGACCAGGTGTCCCTGGTGTGGAGAAGCACTAGGTCTGTACCCAGTGAGCCTCCTTCCCCAGGTGACTAGTTCTAGCCACAAAGGCTGTGCCAGCAGCGAGTCATAATGCATGAGAGAACATTAGCTGTCTGGTCTCCCTGCTGCACTCCTGCCCTCCAGCTCCATCCCTATAACATGAAGGGAGACTGTTGGAAACACCACTCTGGCCTCTCACTTAGCACTTGGGTGAGGCCCCACTGGATCTAGGACAAGTGTTCCCACTCAATGCAGCTCACCCTCAACAGACCCACCAGGACCTGCCGGCTGCTCCATGATCACCAATCAGTGCCTCAGCTTCCCCATCCTGGCTTTCGCCAACCTCAGCAGCATGATGTGCCAAGCTGTCTCAAGCCTCCATGCCTCCAATTATTCCTGCTTCTCCCTCACCTTGAATGCTCTTGTCATCTCCCTTTCTTCCTTTTGCAAACCCCTACACTAGCTTTAAAATTCTGCATGCACATCACCTCCTTCGGGAGAATTCCTTGACTTCCCCCCCAGCCAAGCTTCCTCCTTTATCCTCCTGTGGCTTCCTGTAGCTTCTCTAGCAAATAATATATCACATGATTGTGACAATTGCAGATTGACTTGTCCATCTCTATGGCCAGACCTGAAACAGCAAGCACTTAATAAATGTTGAGGGAAAGTTCAGTTTGTTCTGGTCTCCACACCACCAAGTGCTTCCTCAAATACCTCTCTCCCAGCTTCCAAGAACAGCTGACCAAAAGCTAAGCGTTCTTAGTAGGAGATAAATTGCAGACACTCTGGAGGCTGCCAGTGACCTGCAGCATCCTACTCTGAAAGCAAAGAAAGACTGCTTGGGCCATTGACTCTGGGAAAATGCAAGAAGGCCTATGAGCACATCCACACCTCTGAAGGTGGGGTGGTTGTTATGGGAGATTAGTTCCCACTTCCCAGGGTTGCTGGGTGACCCAGGGCTCCATTACCTGGGTCTCATAGGTGTCCCCAAACAGACTGAGGGATGTGCCTGCCTTCAGCTCCCTGTGGTGGCCATCCAACCAGGCCTTCAGAGACATGGGTTCCATGATGGATCGTGTGCTCAGAGGGAATGGAGGCTCCTTTAGCAGCTGATCTGCACCGGTGGCATAGCTATGGTGAGTGTCCTCTGGGCTCAGTCTACCCAGTCCCAACAGGCCAGATCCCAGGGCCCCAGCTCTCAGTAGCTGGAATGGGCTCTGAGTCCAGCTGCCATAGGGCAATGACCCATCTGCCACAAGGGGTGCTCTTTGGTACCATCTCTGTACCTTAAGTACTGGACAGAGTACTCAGGAAGAGACTCCTGGGACCCTGGGCCAAGACCCATCCTACTGTGGGAAGGGAGGGAGGGAGGAAGAAGAAAGGTGGCTGGGAGTGGCCTCACCAGGGATGGGCTTTCCCGTTCTGTACTGCTCAGAGCAGAAGAACCTGCAGGGACAAAAAGGGAGCAGAGGAAAGATGGCATTCCCACCAAGAGGCCAGTAGATACACTCTCTATACACTGCTGGGCACAGGAGTGCACACATACATGCAAGGCCCTCACATGGCCTATCCCTCCCAGCCCTGTGGAGCACACCAGGCTGGTGGATGCTGATGGAGCCTTGGGGCAGGATCAGGCTGGGGGAACTCACTCTTGGATGATGGGGGCCAGCTGTGTGCCAAGGTCCTTGCAGTAGAACCACTTCTCAAACAGTACGTCCACTGTGTCCCCCACATAGTATCTGCCAAAGCAGAGGTCAAGATAACCAAGATTCCCATCTGCTCAGGCCTTGAAGACCTCTCTCTGGGCACTGGCCCTGCAGAGCTCAGTTGCCTGTTTCCTCTCTGTCTGCATAGCCCAGTGGCCAATGTTTGCATGCACACCTGTACCTGGTCCTTCCAGAAGCATGCAGGTGCTTCATTTACAAGAAAGAAAATTCTGAGGCTCAGGGAGGCTGGGCAACTTGGCAGGAATTACACAACCTGGCAGAAGCAGGCTGGACTCAGCCTTGGAAGTGTATAAAGCATCTAATCCAAGTGTGTTTGTTTTTCCCAAAAAGAAGCTAAGACTGAGCCTGAATCCAGAGCAGGTGGCTGGATGCTCCACCTGCCTGTGCTCAGTGTCAGAGTGCACAGGAATGTTAGCAGCAATCTGAGGCCACAGACATCCCCCACAGGAAGGCTTTTTCTCTTCCATGATCATGGCTGCCTTGGAGAACTGAAGCAAAGCTTTGGATTTCTTCTCTGGGGAGCAGTGTACGCATGCACAGCCTTCAGTGGGCCCCTGCAGCCATCCATGACACCGCCCAGGCAGCAAGCCCCTCCACTAGCCTGAGGAGGCCTGGTAAGTGGGCTGTGCTTTGGGCCCCTGTGCACATGGCATGTGGCAGGTGCTGAGAGCATCTGCAAACTGAATACCTAATCCCTGGGCCAGCTCCAGGCTAGGCCAGCTCAATGACCACCGAAAAAAGAGGAGCAGCCCTGCTGAAGGAGACCGCTTGCAAAAATACAGTGGGTCCACCCATTTGGCACCCTAAATTCTATCCTGGGATGGAACTGGCCACAAGAAGCTTCATAACAGGACTGCAGTGCTCTCTGGAATTGCCTTTGGAGTGGCATTTTAATGTTGAGTTCCTGGCTTTTATTAAAGGTCAAAAGCAGCCAGAAGAAATTTGTTAATGAATTTGGTGTAAAATATTCTCAAGGACACCAATAATTCATCAAAGACTCCTCTGTAAAGCCCCCTGGAGAACCTCCTTTTATCCATATATCTGCCTGTACAATGGACTATATGCACTCACTAGACTATTATGCAGCCATTAACATTGAGACTTAAAAAGATTTAGTATGATATATATTCATGTTATTTTTAAGTAAACAAAGGAAAACTCAAACATATAGGTGCAATGAAAAGATACCTTGGAAATCTAAGTGCTAAGTTTGTTTTGTTTTCTTGAGAGGAGCAAGACAAAATTAATTTTACATAGCAAAAAATTTTAATTTTGTTCATTTTAAGTTCTTGTATGTTTCCAGATTTTGATAGTGAGCATGTATGACTGTGGTAATTTGGGAAAAAAAGTATTTAAAAATGTCCATTATAAACTAGGTGGCACATGTGTATAATCCTAGCACTCAGGAGGCTAAGGTAGGAGGATTCAGAGTTCAAGGCCAGTCTGGGATACATAATGAGACCCTGTCTCAAAAAACAAACAAACAACAACAAAACCCAAAACAGAAACAACAAAGAAAACATAGCAAACATGGGCAAAAGAATACTGATTCCAGTAACTTTCTGAGAAATTTAAATTTTCCTTAGCTGAAAAATTGAAAACAGTTTGGCTTTCAGGAAAAATCTTTGGTCCCCTGCCTTTCAAGAGCTTCTTGAATTCTGAGGATAACAATCCAGTGACTAATCAGACCAAACGAGAAGCATGGAATGGACTCAGCGTCCCCAGCTGGGCCTGTTCTTTCCTCCTGGTGCTGAAGCCCACTCCTGGCTCTGCTTTCCTGGCCCTGACTTTATATTTCTCCATGACACCTATCTAGCAAGTAAAACCCCAGCACAATTACCTGCACCCACTTACTTCTTTGGTACAGTAGGGGTGGGAGTAGTACCTACCCCAGCATCATCAGGAGCCCCTGGCCAGTGCCTACATATAGCCAGCTGTCCCCTAGCCAGACGTCCAAACTTGAGGAACAAGCTGGGGTAGAAACCCAGCAGAGAGGCACTGGCTGAGGCAATACTCTGGAGTCCGAGGCTACTAGAAGTCACAGTGTTTGGGTTGCTGTGAGGTAGGAGACTTACTCTGGGCTCCTCTCTTCCCCTCTGCTTCTCTCACTGCCTCCCCCCACCCCCAGGTGACCACTAGCATAAAGCACCAGTGCTGACTCCAGCCACAGAGAACACCCCCTCCTCCACCATTGAACCCACCTGCCCTGTCAGTCAGCAAATCCAGGGTCTCCATCACCTCCTGCTGCCCAGCCCTCCACCCTCTCGCTGGCCAGGAGGTGCTTTCTTGAGTCTATCTAGGGTTCTTTCTCCTGTAGTTTGAGCTGCACCTCTCTGTTGCTAGCCTTCCATCCACCCCAGCCCTACCTCCCCGACAGGTGCACTTACCTGAGCCCATCTAGCTCAGTTTCCAGCCGCCTCCGCTCAATCACCAGCCCCATGGTGTCTGCAAACCTCTGTGGGGAGTGGGGCACCCTGGCGGGCAGGAGGAATATCTGCAGACGTGGGTGCCCAGCAAGAACTGTGATCCCTCCTGGAGACCTCAGTGCCTGCAGCATCCTGGACATCCCAGTTGACCCACAGGGTAACAGGGTCCTTGCCTATCCACACTGGGCCCTACTCGCCACCCAGCTTCTACCCAGGGAATGAACGGGAGAGAATATTGGGCTGTGCTCAGGATGGGGCAGCCTAAAAGAGAGAGAGCCTGAGAACAAGGCAGGGGCAAGTCAGGTGACAGGAGGGAAGGAAGAGTAGCCTATCCTGGCGCCTTTTGCCTCCCTACCCCTGGGATCCAGTCTCACCTCTCCCTGCCGAATGACCACATCGTGGTGTTTCCCTTGCTCCAGCACTCGGAGAACCATGTCTCCCACCAGCTGGTAAAACACCTGCAGGACAGCAAAGAGCCTGGGACCTCTCTGCTCCCTCCTCCAGGTGCTTGGCCACTGCCCAGGCTCTGAGTTCTGCCCAGGAAGCCTGAGAAACTTCCCAAGGCGTCAGAGCTTATTATGAGCAGCTCTGTAACTCCTGTCCTGAGGCCCCCATATCTCCTGACCCTGGTTACAGGCAGGAGGGCTGGGAAACGCCAGGATTAAATCTCAAGCATGCAAGTGATGATCGGCGTACCCAGGGTGCAACAGCAGATGCCTGGCTAGGGGCAGGAGGCTGCCTGAGAGGCTCACTGGAGAATTCCAGGGCTCGAGGCAAGGTGAGCCACTCATTCCTGAGGCCAAACTTGTTTTCACACATACTGTCAGAGCTGTTTACAACTCCCAAAGGCATCATTAGCCCCATTATGCAGAACAGAAAATAAAGCAAGTCAAGGCTCAGAGGGTAAAGCAACTGACCCAATGTCACACAGCTGCTTAACCCTGGAGCTGCAGTTGGGGCTGGAGCCTATGTGTGACTCTGGGCCTGTGTTGGGTCCTCTGGCCAGCGTGATGCCCTGGCATGAGGGTCTTGGAGGCCAGCAGCCTGGGGTGTGACAGGGACTGTGTATCTCCAGGGGCCACCTATGCCTCTTTCCTATTCCATCCTAAACCCCCAATTAACACATTTACTATGTTCGCCCTGTGGAGGAGGAAGAGGAGGACACTATTTCTCTTCACTGGGTACACACTGCATGGGTATAAAAGCCCCAGCCAAACCAGGCGTGTAATCCCAGCCCTCAGGAGGTGGAGGCAGGAGAACTGAATGTTCAAGGCCAGCACGGGTAACCAGGCATGACCCTCTCCCCCACCCCCCCCAAAAAAAAAAAAAGGAAGAGGGAAGGAAGGAAGGAAGAAAGAAAGAAACAGTCAAATAGTTGAAAGGCTTTTGATAATAATAATAATGATAATAATGTTCTCATCCTGTAAAGAATTAGAGGACATAGGGTGTTTGTCACAACATCAGGTAAGAACAAAGAAACTAGAGAAGGTGGTCCTGAGCCTGCCCGGGGTTAAAATGACACAACCCTCTGAAGGGCACTATGGCAACAGGTGTGAGATGCCATTAGAGTTCACTCTTGTAGGGAGTGAACCCTCTTGGGGTGCAGGATCTTTAGTGCTAAAACTGGAGATGTCTTCCCACCCAGGAAAGCTGGATGTCAGCAAGGCAGCCTCGTCCGTCAGAAGCATGCCTGTCCACTGGCATGTACACAAGGCTGTTTGGTCCCAGTGTGTACAGGCAAAGGCTCCGGTATCAGCTCTGCCAGACTGCTGTGTCCTGGGTCAGTCTTTCTGTGCTTCAGCTTCCTCATCTACCACAGTTCTACTCACTCAGAATGTTGCCTGGGAAGCTGTACACATATGGACTCAGAACGTAAAATACTCAAGAAGCCTGGCTGTTAACATCAGTGGTGGTAGGAATCACAAAAATAGTGTTAATAACAACAATGAATAAAAATATTTGAAGGTAGATTTGAAATATGGAACATTACACAGTCATTGGAACTGTTTTCAAATAACTTAATAAAATGGCAAAATGGACAATGCTAAAGTTACCATGCTGGGCTGAGGGCATGGGTCGAGTGGGTAGCACACTTGTCTAGAGTGTACACGGCCCTGGGTTCAATCCCAGTGTTACTAAAATAAATAGTTACAATATTAAGGCAAAATTCAAAACTATGGACTGGGGACATGGCTCAAGTTGTAGAGCCCCTGCCTACCAAGTATGTGAGGCCCTGAGTTCAAATCCCAGTACTGCCAAAAAAAGACAAAAAAATTCAAAACTATGCCCAACTGGATTCTAATTCTACATATATAACACATACAGCAGTGCTCATGGGTGTTCCCCCTGACTAGTGAGATTATGAATGAGGTAGATGTTTTTCTTCCTGTATTTCTCATGTTTTTTTATAATAAACAGTATGTACTTTCACTATTAAAAACTAGCCATGGGGCTGAGGGGGTAGCTCAGAGGTAGAGGGGTTAACCGGCATGCTCAAGTTCCTGGCATAGATTCCCAGCACTGCAGACAAACAAGCAAACCCATAAACATTACTTAACACGAATAAGAAAATACTGCTAAGTTTCCTTATAGGGAGCAGTTTGGCTCAAGCTGGCAGGAAATTGTGTATGTGTGTGTGTGTCTGCCTGTCTGTGTTGTCCTTTCATGGTGGAGGAGGGGATGGAGGGACCCCTGAGCTCTGTGGGGAGGGACGATGGCTCTGCACACACCAGAGTAGGATTTTGGGGAAGTCTGGGCCAGACTCAGACCCTTTCTGGGCAGGCTACAAGGTGTTAGCAACCATCAAACACAAACCTGTGAAGGTAGTAGAATTTTCCTGTCTTGTTCCCTCCCCAGTGGCCTTCTGTGTGATGAGGGGCAGGCCTGGCCTGGAGCAGAGGACAATCACTGACAGCAGAAAATCCCCAACAGCCATGGGCAATCCAAAAGGAATTATGCTTGCTTGGAAATAAATGTTGTTTGGGGCCCAGGGATAGCGGAAAGATTAAGTGTACAGGCTCAGGCAGATATTAAATCGAGTCTGGCTTCCGTGACCTGGAAAGGCCTCTCAAGCAGGTGAGATAGAGAGGGGTGAGGTGCAGAGGACCCACACCTATTATTAAGCACCTATTCTATACACACTGAATCTTTCCCCAGGCAGGACCATTGTCCCAGGTGCTGCAAAGTTCAGTCAGATAGGACATAGACCTGTCCAAGATCACATGGCTAGTCAAAGGCTCATCTGCCTCCCAGCTGGGCCCCCTCCACCTGCCCGCCCCAGAACGAGTGGGATAAGTGGAATCTGAACTGTGGATGGTGCTGGGGATGGCTGTCCCAGGGGCCAGAGCTCAGCCAAGAGGAAAATCTGGCTCAGTCAGTAAGAGGCGTGATTGGAACCTAGTACTGAGTGACTGCTCAGGCTCTAGCTGGCTGAGGACAGGCAGGGACAGAGAAGATGCTGAACCTCAGTTGTGAGGCCACCCCCGGGCCTGTGGCAGTTACCACACCCTATCCTTGTACCAAAGGGTTGGACCAAGCTGTCACCAACCCACCTGCAACCAAATTCCTCCCAGCCACTGAGTGTCCCTCCAGAGTGAGAACACCATGCAGGCCAGTCCTATTCTTCTCTCAGCCACCAGCCAAGACAGGGCACTGGCTGGTCCAGGCCCTCATGGATACCCATCCACCTTCACAGCTTGGAGGGACCCCCCCACCGATGAACATGAGGAGGGAGACAGACAGGTGGACAGTGACACTAGGCCTTACAGGGCAAATGGAAGCTGCTGGAGGATGAGGCTGACTGAGGCAGGCAGGAAAGCCCAGCTGTGCCTCACCATTCAGATCTGACCCCACTCCCTCTCAGTCATTTGGGATTTTCCTGCTGATTTTTCTAGAGGAAAACATCTCCAGGGAGGTATGTTGGGGAACTCAGCAGAGGCTCTGCTGGCCTCTGCCTTCTGTCCAGAGTGCCCAGTGATTGATTCCTCAGTGCTCCCTGCAGTCCTTGGCTCTGTGTGTGTGTCGGGGGGGGGGGGGGGTTGCCAGTGGTGGGGTGGAGGCTGGTGATCAAGGTGGATTTGTACATTGGACCCCTGAATCAGGCCTCCTTCAAGATGAGAGGGACTCTGAACAGATCCTTTTCCACCAGAGATCCTGATGGCTGGGAACCTACCTCTCCTTTCCAGGCCATCTTTCTTTAATTTTACCTTTGCTTGTGTACTTTTGATTAGATAGGAGAGAGGAACAGTTCAAAGTTCAAGGTGCAAAAGGGTATTCAGTGCAATCCCCCCAGACTCCCTAAGCCACACAGCCCCAAGCAATGAATGTGTCTTGCACCCTCTAGGCAAGGAGGGGCCAGCCTGCCCCATGCCCACCCCTCAGCCACTTGCTCCTCCAGCCCAGCCCCCACTTTGTGTTTCTGAACTTCACCCCTCTCTGCAGGAGAGGGAGAACTGACTCCTGGGATCAGAAGGCGATACCTAGGACCTCTGAGGGCTTGGGTCTCATTTTGGAGGCCAGTCATGTACCTTCATTTTGGTGAGAGGACCAGGGCATCCCAGCTGGGGCATGGACAACCCTGTGTCGAGGGGCTGGATGGTCCTAGCGAGAGCCTGTCACCCATGGGAGCAGTGCTAGTGTCTGCCCCCCTCGGCAGTCTTCCCTGGCTCAGATCTGAGGATGGGGCTACCAAAGGGACCCCATGGACCCCTCAACTTTAAAGCAGCAGTTTTCCCCTCCCCCAGCAGTCACGTCTCCTCTTCTCCAATCTACATGCTCGGGCCTTGGCTTGGGAGGTACATGCTCCTCAGGGCTGTGTTCCCAGGGCTGGGAAGTCATAGCTTACCTCCTCACCCTCCTCAATGTGATAGTCCTTCCTGGTGTTGGGGCCCCCGACAAACATGATTTTTAGCTGCTCCTGGTGCCTGCAATCATGAGGAACAGGAGGTCTTGGACCAGCTCCTGGGAATGAGGGAGGAGAGGGTACAGAGGCAAGAGGGGGCCTGGCCACCTGGGAAAAAAACAGGTCCCTGCCCCCTCTCTCACATGGCTTGTGCCATTTGCCTCTAAGTGTCTGTGGGTCTGTAATTATATGGATCCTTCTATGTGTGTCCCCATATCTCTGACCAGTAGGGGAGCAGCCTGGTGGTGGGTGATCTATCGCTTCATCACCATACACAAGACCTCCAGTTACAGGACAGCAAACTGGAGCCGCCCCACCCACTACCCACCAACACCAAGCTGTCTGATTATGAGACTCTCCACTCCATTGGCTGGAGGCCTGACTCAGGAGACTCAGGAGACATTACTTAACCTTGTTGGGCCTCAGTTTCCTCATCTGTAAAATAGAGAGACAGCTTTTACTTGATAGTTTAAATAGATGGCATGAATTTTTATTCAGAAGTCTTCAGAATGATGCCTGGCATATAGTAAATACTCTTTTAAGTATCTGATAAAACAAGTAAGCCTGCCAGGTGCCGGTGGCTCATGCCTGTAATCCTAGCTACTCAGGAGGCAGAGAGTAGGAAGATCAAGGTTTGAAGCCAGTCCTGGGCAAGTAGTTCGTGAGATCCTATCTCAAACAAATAAAAAAAACCATCACAAAAAGGGTTCAAAATCGGCTCAAGGTTCAGGGGCTAAGTACCACAAAAACAACAAGAAAAAAAAAAAAAAAGCAAATAAGCCTAATGCCATCCTCTCATCTGACAGCCAGCCTAACAAGTTCAGAGAGGGTGGCACAGCCCTGAGCCAGGGCCTAGGTTGGTGCCCCATTCCTGGTGCACATGCCAGCTGTTTGGAACTTGATAGCATACCCAAACTCCTCAGGCTGCCCACTGTTGGCGTAGTGTCACCTTGTACAGGAAAAATACTTCTACGCCTCCTGACAACCCGCCCACCCTCATGGCAGGGTCCCCTTTCAGGGTGGGCTGATCCCAAGTGTGGCTCCAGGGTCTCAGGTGGCCAAGCAACAGAGGGCAGGGTCCAGGGCTGGCACATGGACAGGCACTGAGGTTGGGGGCAGAGACATTTGTGTCCACAAATCTCTGTATCAATGATGAGGTGTGAGGGGTTGTAGGGGAGCTCTAAACCCCCAAACTAGATTAGAAGTCCTTGCCCAGTGTCCACTCCTGAGGGCTGTTTGCAGCCCAGGGGCGGAGACCTGGGAATTGGAGGAAAGGTAGGTCTCTTTGCTTTTCCTTCCCTTTTTTGAGGGCAGGGCCTAATAAGCAAGAAATACACATCGGTCACCCCCTGATGTTTGAAAAGCTGGATGCAGTCAAGGGGCAGGTGGAGGCCAGCATGGGGCCGTGCTTAAAAAACTTGAAGCTGCGTAGGTGTCAAGGAATAGAAAGAAGGTGTGAGGTACTTGGGGAGGAGACGGGGAGGCAGAGCTGTACAGAGGCCTGGGACTGAAACTGGAAGCAATGGGGGTCCTGGTGGGTGGGGGAAGTCTTGGGAAGCAATTTGAGAAGGCTGAATGAGGACAGGGAGTTTGGTTTTGGCCTGAGGGTGCCCAGGAGCCTCAGAATTATTAGTTTTGCTTTTGCAGTACTGGAGATCAAACCCAGGACCTTGCCCATGCTAAGCATGTATGCTACCACTAAGCTACATCCCAGCCTTTTTTTTTTTTTAATCAATTTTACTGAGATATGGAAAGTTTTTGAACAAGTTTGTTCGAGAACTCTTTCACCCCACCAGTTAGAATGCATACCCCAGATTCTGAACCCTCCTGTCCTCAGAACTCTCCAGCAGCTTCTCATTTCTGTGGGTTGTTACAGAATAAAACCCTCCAAATTCAGACATTGAATTCAGACCCAGGACCTCAGAAAGTAGCCTTATTTGGAAACGGTCATGGCAGATGTAATAAGTTAGGATGAGGTTATACTGGAGTAGGGTGGATGGAGCCCTGATCCAACATGACTGGTGTTTTATAAGTGGACTATCTGGACCAGGGATACCGGGGGAGACAGTGGGAAATGAAGACAGAGATTGGAGTGATGCAGCTGACGGCAGTGATGCTGCCAGGGAGCCACCAGAAGCCGGGGAGAGGTGCGGCACAGACTGTCCTTCGAGTTCTATCAGGGGAAGGAAGCACGGTCCTCACACTGACCTATGTCCACCAGTCGGCCTGTATTTGCCTCCACCCGTTTGTTCATATTTACTGGCTGCCTCGTTCACCAGAATTTTAGTTCCACAAAGAAGGCATTTTTGTCAGTTTGTTTCCTGCTGTATCCCAATGCCCAGAGCAGTCTGGAAGGTAGCAGGTGCTCAGTGAACACTACTGAATGGAAAAAGGGAGGGCCTGCGTTTTTTATGTTTAATACCAGGGCAGTGCTGCTGGGATGAGTCGGGGGGTCTGGAGGCAGGGTAACCAGTACTGCCCAGGCTGGAGGTTACCAGAGTAGAACTAGAGCAGTGGGCTGGAGAGAGGAAGACAATGGAGGACTGAGAATGAGAGGCTGGGAACAGGGATGAGGTGGGGGAAGGAGGCAAAGACAACAATAAAGCTTCAGTTGGGGAGACGAGGCTTCAGGGAGACGTTGAACATTAGCCATGGTGGTATTGTGTAGTGCCCAAGGGTGTGCAAGGACTTTGGAGTTAAACTGTCCCATGGGCTTGCTTCTGTACACTGTCCTTCTGTACACTGACATTGGGAAGTTACTTATTAAATCCCACCTCACGGGGCTACTGTGAGCATTCACAGAGATGACACCAAAACATTTGGCATAGTTTCTGTCTGTGAAAGTGCCAGTGATGTCTGGGTTGAGGTGCCACCCCACTGGAGATGACTTGCAGGCACATAGAAGTGGGAAATAAAGAGAGATCTGGATTTGGGGGCACAGGAGGCCCAGTCATGGAGCTGAGGGAGGGGAAGGGAGGTGAGCACAGGGGAGGGCCTAAGGGGCCTTTGGGAGAAAGATGGTAGCTGGGAGCCCTGCTGGGTGCTGGAAGCAGAGATGGCTTAGGGAGGGCTGTGTATGTGTGTGTTCCTCCAAAGAGGGGCCTGGGAAGTAAATCAGGATCCCCCAACGGAGTTGATTCTCTCATGTCACCCTTTGCCAGGGTTGGGGTGTGCGACCCAATTGGCCCCAGACACCAGTGCAACTGTAATTCTGGGGCGCTGAAAACCATGCTCTCCAAACTTTTGAGTTTTCCCAAAGTGCTCAGGAGCTACTTGGGACAGAAAGACTGTTTCCCAGTCCTGGAAGGAGGGGTGTACCCTGCCACCTCATCTCTCACAGCCTGAGGGCCACCCCAGCCATTGTCAGACATCAGGGCCACATTCCCCAGTGCAGAGTCACCAGAAAGAGGAACAGGCAGAGGTGGTAGAACACGGAACAATTCATCCTCACCCTCCCCTGAAGGCGCCCAGAGAACGACAGTCCCTCTTCTGCAAGCTTCTGGATCAAGGGACAGGGAGCTGGAGAGCCAGCGGGCAGATGGAACAGGAGGAAGTGAGGACAGAGGGGGGACTTTTGGGGGACTCACATGAGTTTGTTGCAGACCGGGGGCTGGAAGGAGGCCCGGTTCTCCTCCACCCAAGTGTTCACTCTCACCCGGCGCTCCATGGCGGACGGGCCAGACCCAGCTGCTCGCAGCGCAGCGCGTCCTCCTACCGCGGTCTCCGGCGCGCGGCCCTGCCCAGTCGCCTGTTGGCGGTCTCATTAGTCAGCATCCCTGAGGTCAAAGGGCGGAGCAACCCCCTATGACCCCGCGGTGGCGAACTTGGGTCTGAGCCACCTGCCCTCCGCGCCGCCCCTTGTCCTCCCCCCGGCCGGGTGTCACCTGAGGACGGTGACCAGTGCCCCCTCCCCCGCCTGGCCAGCGTCCTGTGGGCGCCCCGCACACCCGGGAGATGGGAGCCTGGTTCAGACCCTTCCTGGTCTCTTGTCTAGGTCCCAGGAGGTCCCTAGCGAGATCCCAAAGAAATGCAGTGGCGAGGAGAACGTGGGTCTGGGAATTGTAGAGTCCAAGCACCTGGTCTGAGCAGGGACCACACAGCAGGTGGAGAACCGCGGTGACCCAGCTGGAGGGCAAAGTTCTCTCCCTGCATTGCCGACCAAGGCCGAGCCTAGGGGACACTGCCCTCAGCCCTGGCATCGTAGTGGGCAGAGACCAGGTGCCTGGCACTGTTCTGAGCTCCTTGCATGTCCCCCACCACCAGCCGCGCCATGCAAGCACTAACCCTGAGCTACACCCCAGCCCCCTGCGTGTCTTAAATCACACACATACGAGGAAGTTCACAATTTCACAGATGAAGATGGGCATAGGTGCGCCAGCCCTCCGGAACCTCGGAGTGCGGGGGTGGGCTGGGCAGACAAACCTGTGCTGATGACTGTGGCCCTGTGAGAGGCCCTGCCAGGTTGCCCTTTGGGCAGATGGAGGCCTGGCCATGTGAGAACGCAGAGGGGGGTGAAGGCCACCTGCCACCTGCCACTTTCCTCTCTCTTCAGGACTCAGGATTCTTGGGAAAACTGGAGGAGGGTGGAGTGGGGGAGTGAGAGTGGGGGAGAAGAAAAATTGCTCAGGCCTCCAATCCCAGAATGCAGACTGTAGAGCCAAAGGAATTCAAACTCCTCCAGCAGCACCACCCTCACACCCACCCTGCCCCTGCCTGCTGCCTGCCTGGTGGGCAAGGGCTGCTTTTCTTGCTTCTCAGACATGAAGGCTCTTCTGGTGTAAGTGAAACCCAGACATTAGAAGCAGAGGTCACAACCACCTGGCTGAGACTTCGGTTCCTTCTCCAGCACCCCTCCCCCTTTTTCCTTTTAGTTATTTATTTAGCACATTTTAGTAGAACATTTCTTTCTAGAATATTGTTTGGTACCCAAATAATTCAAACCATCTTCTTTATTTTCCCATCTACAAATAATCAGAGGAGATGTAAACACCAGGGAGCTAAGATGTGTTAGGTTCACTCTGGATGCTTGTTAAATGAAGAGTAGATGGGTGGGTGGATGAAGGCCTGAATGAATTCACACTAAAAAGAAAAAAAAAGTGCTTTCTTTCAAACCAACAGATGTTCTGTTATGTAGTACAAAGGAAAGAATGATAGTTATCCAGCATTTTAATTGATGTAGTCAAATAACATGAATAATTGAGGCCATAAGTAGAATTTTGGGGGATATGAATTACCTAGATTAATCCTATACATAGGCTAAACTACTGCTGTGTAATCACTGTCAGATATGACCTCTGGTTTGTGCCATGTAGATAATACACCATGCTGGCCTGCCCGGGTGGCAAGTCTCTGTGCTTGGGTGTTGGCCACTGTGTGCTTTGGATGTCAGAAAACTGACAGTTCCCTTTCATCCAAATGTTCTGGTATTGATTAATCGCAGCCATGTGGAATCCTTTTAGATACTGACCCTTGGCCTCTTTGACTTTCTGGCTGTTATCTGCTCCCAGAAGCCACCTCTGTCCTCTGCACAGACGCTCATTTGCAACATAGAATCCAAAGCAAGCAGCAGCTACCTCAGGATCCGAGCTCACCAGGTCCTGTCCTTCTTGGTGGGGTCTTGCTCTGCCTCCCCTGGGTGGTGTGGCTGCCCAGGTCACGGAGACCAGTAGATGCTTCTAGGCTTTGCTCAATATGGCTTTGCTGGTGGCGAACCCTCTCATCCTTTAGTCCCTTGATAGATTGAACCAGTGGTTTTGATCCATTCCTTTCCCAGACCACTGTGGTCTGTCTCAGTCTGTCTCTCCTCTTTCCCTCCCTTCACATAACTCAACAAATATTTAAAAGCAAATGAATAAAGGTACTAGGTCATGAACTCTACTGATGGGTAGAAAAAACAAACCAAACTCAGTTTCTCCTACTGTACTCTCAGGACACAGATCATTTGGGTATGGGGACCACAAACGCACAAGGATTTCTCCCCACCTGTTTGCAAAAAGCAATCAGTTCTACAGTGGCCCCCTGCTGGGTGTCTTCAGATTCAATCCGATGCTACTTGCTCAGAGATAGCTTCAGCAGAGATAGCTTCAGCAGAGATAGCTTCGACCCCCCAGGTGAGGGCTCAGTCCCACAAGACTGCCAGAACTCAGACCCAGTCCCAAGTCTGGTTCTCTGGAACTTCTGACCAACCTGCTACAACTGGGGTTTCCATGGCCCCTTCCTCAAGTTAGATTAATTTGCTAGACCTACTCACAGAACTAAGGATAGTGTTTACTATGCTTACATTTACTGGTTTGTTTTAAAGGATAAAAACAAGCAGCTAGATGAAAGGACACACATAAAAAGAGGTCTGGGAGGGTCTGACGCCAGGATCTTTGGTCTCAGTGGTGTTGCTGATCTTCCCACAAGCGCCCACATGTTCAGCTGTTTGGAAGCTCTCTGAACACTATCCTTTCTGGTTTCTGGGGAGACTTCCATGCATAGGAGAAAGGTGACTGGACAAAAAGGATTGGTCTAAGGCTGTGCATTCAGATTCTTCTTGGCCTCTGACATCATTCCTTCCCGGCAGGCATGGAGGACAATCTCTGCTGAAATGGGGGTCATCTACCATCAGACAAGGTAGGATAGAGAATTTCTTTATGGCCACAGACTCCAAGGCTGGGACTGATGAGCATTTCTATGACCTGCCTTGAGGAAGAGAAATCCTAGTTTCTGTGGTTGCCTTGGGAGGATGGGGGAGAAAAAGGAGCAGATGAAAGGAGGGCAGAAGGTCAGAGAGAGACTGTGCATCTGAGGCCTAAAGCACCCCAATTTTGTTCTAGTCACTTAGGAAATAACAAGAGCCATGGGAGTAATGTTTTGAGAACCACAGATGATATATGTATCACGTCATGTAATTGGGAAGTCTAGGTTCTGACCTTGCTGAGTTCTTTACAAGTTTGTTTGAAACTTGTTTGTTTTTGTTTGGCTATCTTTTTTTTTTTCTTGTGGTACTGGGGTTTGAACTCAGGGCCTCATGCTTGCTAGGCAGGCTCTCTTCCACTTAGCCATTCCGCCAGCCTTCATTTTGTTTTTCTTTCTATTTTTGGGTGGTACTGGGATTTGCTCTCAGGGTTTTGCCCTTGCTGGGCAGGCATTCTACTGCTGAGTCCATATGCAGTCCCATTTTGCTTTTCACTCTAGTCTTATTGCATTGTGGCGAGTGAAGATGGCATGTTATTTTGGGCGTGGGGGGAGGGTGTTAATTTTTCCTTTGCAGTTTAGCCAATAGTCAATTTTTGTAAAGGCCTAGAATGTAATTCTATTTCTATTAGGTCAAGCTACTGTGTTAAAAGTAAGGAGCAATCAACGCAGAGAAACTAAAGCAAATACTTTAAGCAACTGAGGTCAATAGGAGAAGGGGACCAGGAACTACAGAAAAGGTTAGTTCGAGAAGAATTAACCTAGAAGGTAACATACGTGCACAGGAAATCAATGTGAGTCAACTCCCTGTATAGCTATCCTTATCTCAACTAGCAGAAACCCTTGTTCCTTCCTATTATTGTTTATATTCTCTCTTCAACAAAATTAGAGATAAGGGCAGAATAGTTTCTGCCTGGTAGCGAGGGGTAAGAAGGTAGGGGGGGAAGGGAGAGGGCGGAGGGGGGGAAGGGGGGAGAAATGACCCAAACATTGTATGCACACATGAATAAAATAAAAATTAAAAAAAATAAATGAATAAAAGTAAGGAGCAAGACTCTTTGAGTACCTACTTAAGGTTTTTCTTTCTGAGAGATAGGTTAAATTGTCTCGTAATTTTTTTGTTAATTTCTCCTTTTAGGCTTTGCTTTATATGTTTTGAATCTATGTGTTTAGATAAAAAAAGTTTCGTGACTTGTATCTTCTTCTTTATCTTGAGATAAAATTTCTTAGTTTCTTTTCACCTTGATGTCAGTTTTGGCTAATATTAATAGTGCTACACCTGTTTGTGTTTGCTAGTATTTTCCAGGTATGGGTGCATTGATGGAAAAGTTGCCACACTCATTCCTTCCCTTCTTGAACCCACACCCCTTGCCATGGGACTTTGCCATTTTTCCATCAAGACAGGAGTGTGTTTCCCTGTGGGTTGAATCATGGCTGCCATGTGGCATGCTTTGAAAATGGGAGGCTGCAGAACCTATGCAGTGAGCATAGGATTCGGACCTCATGAGGTCCTGCAGCTGCTGAGCCCACCACCTGGCCCACTGCTGCCACCATGTGCAGAAGCCTGGTTCAGTCTCCTGGAGGCTAAGCGGCACCATGTGGAGAGGTGGTGGCCAAGAGCCAGTGCCAGCTGCGTAAGGCCACTTGGAGGACAGCGGGCACAAGCAGCCCTGGGGGAGACTGCAGACCTCCCCGGCTCAATTCAGGTCAAATCACTGAGGCAACTTATTAGGAGTAAATGAAATGGTTGTTACTGCAAATGGTTTGTTACCTTGCACAGGATAGCTGAGACAGCAGGTGTGGGTTTCCCCATAAGCTTTCAGTGTCTTTTTGTTTTAGGTATACCTCTCATAAGGCACATAGCTAGAGTTTTAAAATTCAATCTGATAGCCTGTGCTATTTAGTGGCTGGGTTTAATCCTTTCATATTTAATTGTTGAAATATTTTTACTATTAAAAGAGACCGTTCCTTAGACCTATCATGTCAAGCAGAGTTTGAGCAGGGGGGAAACGAAGCAAATTAAAATAAAAACTATTCATAAATTGAGCAGCTCCCAGAACCACAACATA